CCAGTTCTTTCTCCTGTCTTTTTGTCCATGTCTCTGTCTCCAGACCATACATCATAGCTGGTCTCACCACTGTCTTGTAAACTTTTCCTTTAACCTTTGCCGACACATTTTTGTAACAAATCATTCCTGAAACTTTTCTCCACCCACTCCATCCTGCCCGGACTCTCTTCTTCACCTCTTTACCACATTCCCCATTTTCCTGGACAGTGGAACCCCAAGTACTTGAAGTCCTGCACCTTTGTGACCTCTGCTCCTTGTAGCCTCACTGTTCCACTGGACTCCCTCTCATTCACACACGTACTCTTCTCTTACTACGACTGACTTTTCTCTTCTTTCAAGTGCATACCTCCACCTCTCCAAGTTCTCTTCCACCAGTTCCCCGTTCTCACCACAGATCACAATGTCATCTGCAAACATCATCGTCCATGGGGATTCCTGCATGACCTCATCTGTTGGTTCATCACCAGAGCAAACAAGAAGGGGCTCAGAGCTGATCCTTGATGCACTCCCACCTCCACCTTGAAGCTATCTGTCACTCCTACAGCACATCTAACCAGTGTCCTGCTGTCCTCATCCATGTCCTGTACCAGTCTAACATACTTCCGTATTAAACCTGAAAATAAATATTAAAAACAGTTAATTCATAGTCTCATACTGTTATGAGTGACGACTGAAGACTTCAGCTTGGAGTAGTAGGAGGCAGTTCAAAAGGGTCACATGAAAATCGCTTGACTTTTAAAATCAAGTCTCATTCTCATTTACACAAGAAAAATTATGATGTCAAACTAGCGTAGCCAAATTTTTGCTTTGCTGTTTGATGAATGCCAGAGAGTTGAAGCTAAATGGGAACAAGAGCAGGAGGGAAGGATGTGGGGAAAACACATCAAACTATATAACAATGGCAGAAATGAGAAGTCAGATTCTGTTTGTCATTAAACCTAAAATCAAAGTAAGCAAATAAACCTCACAAACAACATTTGAGACTCTGTAAGCCCAGGGACCCCGAGGACAGAAAAGTCTTTTTAATCATGTGAAAATAGAAACATTCAGGGCTATAATTCATTCAGCTCTTTGGGAGGTGCTCTCTTATTTAATCCCCTGATCTTGTCACGCTTTATGTCTGGGACATTTAGATAAATATGTGCATGTCAAGACCAACGCTTCATAAAACCTTTCCAAGCAAAATGGAAAAACATTAAGAACTGGATTAGGATGGATATACCAAGCTACCAACAGCCAAAACTAAGAAAGAGTACATCCTTGTGCTGAAAAACTCAAATGACAAAAATAAATTAAAAGCTTTGTCAAAAGTCTGAGTAAAAACAGCTAAAGAAGGAAAAAAACATTAAAAATAGTGATACTCGAGATTCTTGTGTGTGTGTGTGTGTGTGTGTGTGTGTGTGTGTGTGTGTGTGTGT